CCAACCACTCCCAAATGCCATCCCTCCATGAATCCACTTAACTAATTACAAGGTATTTAGAATAGAATAGAATAGAATAACAGAGTTGGAAGGGACCTTGGAGGTCTTCTAGTCCAACCCCCTGCTTAGGCAGGAAACCCTACACCACTTCAGACAAATGGTTATCCAACATCATCTTAAAAATTTCCAGTGTTGGAGCATTCATAACTTCTAGAGACAAGTTGTTCCACTGATTAATTGTTCTAACTGTCAGGAAATTCCTCCTTAGTTCTAAGTTGCTTCTCTCCTTGATTGGTTTCCACCCACTGCTTCTTGTTCTACCTCAGGTGCTTTGGAGAATAGCTTGACTCCCTCTTCTTTGTGGCAGCCCCTGAGATATTGGAACACTGCTATCATGTCTCCCCTAGTCCTTCTTTTCATTAAACCAGACATACCCAGTTCCTGCTTAGTAGGGCTTTCGGGGGCCTCCAAGCGGTGTTCTTTTTTATACAAAGTCAGCTTATTGCCCCCACAATCCGGGTCCTCATTTTACCTACCTCGGAAGGATGGAAGGCTGAGTCAACCTTGAGCCTGGTGAGATTTGAACTTGCAGTAATTGAAGGCAGCTGGTGTTACTTAACAGCACTTTAGTCTGCTGCACCACCAAGGCTCTTCCTATGCTATTTAGTTATGCTATTCAAGATGTAAACCAATAGAGATAGCTATTTTTTTTTAATGTTTGCATTAGGTGAAGTAGCATTGGAATGGCCTGCAATGAGAAACTGTAGGCATAAAAGAACAATAATAACACCATCAACAAAACAAGGTAAATAGGGGGAAGGCAAATTCAAAATTGTTGCATGCTGGAAATATTTACAGTTACAGAATTTTCGATTATCTTTTTTTTAAAAAAAACCAATTTATAGGACAGATACATAGAGGACAGAAATGATAGTTTAACTATTTGAACAGAAAAATTAAGAGGAATTTCCATGAATGCATATATTCTCTGATTTACAAGAAGGGAGCGATCGAGGATTACACTTTTGGCTCAGCTCACAGAGGTGGAACAAAATTGTGACATTTCTGCAATGCTAAGGTATTATATAGCATGCCCTTTTACAAGCTAGCAGCTCCAAGATATACTTTGAACTCTTGATAAAATATTGTAAGGCAGTTCTATTTTCTCAGTGTAATGTCAACAGAAGCAAGACTGCTGCAGCATGTTTAACTTTTTAATGTCCTGCTTCAGCTGCCTAATAAGCAGACAACCAATAGAAGGAGAGATAGAGGAACTAGAGTTATATTTCCTTTCTGTGCTATGTTCTGAAGAAGGTGCTTTTCCAAAAGGCAATTGGACTTTCTTGGGGTTTTTTTTCTTCCTTTTCCCACCCTTATTTTGTCCTTTCAAGTCCAGTTGCTTTTTAGAAATGCACCTTTGGGACAACCATGACCTGAAGGATTGAGAACAGAGGTGGGCTTCAAAAATTTTAGCAACAGGTTCTCTGCCCGGTTGCTGGGTGGGCGTGGCCATGGTGGGTGTGGCCTAGTTGGCCTCCTGCACCACGGCAGGGGGACTGTTTTTGCCTTCCCCAGGCTCTGGAGGCTCTTTGGAGGCCATTAACGGGCCTGTTTCCGGCATTCCGGAACTTCCTGGAGGCCTGTTTTTCACCCTCCCTGGGCTCTGGAGGCTGTCCTTGAGCCTCTGGGAGGACAAAAATGGCCTCCTCCAGGCTCCGGAGGCCCTCCGGAAGCTGGAAATGGCCCCCTTTCCAGCTTTCTGGAGCCTCTGGGAGGCTTGTTTTTCACCCTCCCCAAGCCTCCACGCGGGCCCTGCACTTACATGGCATCCAAAATGGGCCACGTGGGGACTCCTGGGAGGGGTGGGGCAGGGTGGGTGGGGCCATCCAGGAGTGGGATTTGGGGGTTCGCCGAACCACGCAGAATCTTCACTAGAGAATCGCCCAAAGCCGGGCGAACCCGGAGTAGCCCACTCCTGAATGAGAATATTCCTAGACACTTTCTGTGCTGTGTTTAGGAAAGAAAACAATACAGCTAGTCCTCGGCTTACAACTATTCATTTAATGACTATTCAAAGTTACAACAGCACTGAAAAAAGTGCCTTATGACTGGTCATCACAATTACAACTCTTGCAGCACCACCATCATGGGTCATGGGATCAAAATTCGGGCACTTGGCAACAGGCAACTGTTTATGACAGTTGCAGTGTCCTGGATTATGTGATTGCCGTTTGTGACCTTCCAATCTGCTTCCAATGAGCAATTTCAATGGGGGAAGCCCGATTTGCTTAGCGACGGTTTGATTCACTTATCTCTGCAGTGATTTTACTTAACAGCCTTAGCAAAAAGGTCTTAACATTGGGCATGATTCGCTTAACAACTATCTTGCTTAGCATTAGAAATTCTGGATCCAATTTTTATTATTATAAACTTTTATTCATTCAACATGAAACTCAAGTCAACTTCACATTTAAAAATGTATCACAAATATCATTGACTTCTTCTTCTTCTTCTTCTTCTTCTTCTTCTTCTTCTTCTTCTTCTTCTTCTTCTTCTTCTTCTTCTTGTTATTGTTTTATATTATTATTATTATTGTTATTATTATTATTATTATCTTTATTCATTAAATATGAAACTCAGTCAACTGAACATTCAAAAATGCATCACAAATACCATTGATTGGTGCTAATGGTTGATTATTCTATTTTAAATTTTTGTATTTATATGTTTTATTCTGTGGCTGTTCACTGCCCTGAGTCCTTCGGGAGTAGGGCGGTATAGAAATTTAATAAATAAATAAATAAATAAAATACGGGTTACTGCCACAGTGTCTTAGGTATCAACCAAGTACATCATCATCATCATCATCATCATCATCATCATCATCATTCATTCATTGCATAGTCAGCCAGATGTTCACACTGGGTTTGGAATTTTTGTCTACCTATCAAGTCCTTACCAAGGACCTGGGATAGGCAAATCTGGATGTTTGACGGATGTTTGACGGTGTTACAGATATTGTTGCAGGATGAAAGCAGTTCCAAGTAATGCTGCCTTCTGCAATTAACTGATGGCGAATTATCATCATCATCATCATCATCATCATCATCATCATCATCAATCAGATTTAGTTGCCTCCCATCTTGCAGTTTGAAGTGACTCTGAATAGCCAATTGTGGTCGTAAGCAGAGGTGGTATTCAATTGGTTCAGACCAGTTCACCTGAACCGGTAGTGGAGATTGCGGGTGGGTGCGACTATGCCGTCCTATTTAGCCACGTTTTCAAGGCCAGGCGCATGTATGAAAGGTGCACGCTTCAGCAAAGTGCATGCGCGGAAGACCGGCCACATGTGCAGAAGGTGCACGCACAAAGTGAGTGTGCGCGCACAGGGCAAACCGGTGATAACAATAATCTGAAACCCACCGTTGGTCTTAAGTCTGGAACTACCTATAATGAAGCTCTGCTGGAGCTTCACAGACTCAGAATTGGAGGAGAATATAGTATCCAAACTCGTCCCCTTCAGTCTTGGTACAGGAAATCCAGAGATTAAACATCTTTGTCACTGAGAAATAAATAGGACAATGACCTGAATGGCCTTTGTGCTGTTTGTTTTTAGCCAATTAATAGAGGGTGTTTTAGAAGGAAAATAATAATCAAGCTGAGGCTAGAGACGCTTTCCTTTTATAGCCTCTCTGCCAACAGTTCATATGCAATCATTTCTTCGGAGCTACAGGTTACAATCAGCTAAGGGTCTTTCATTAAAAGCTCAGGGCGCCTCTTGGGTTGAACTCACAAAGTCACCTCTAAGGACAACACAATTAAAAAAGATTCCCGCCCTGCTTTACAATGTGAAAGAGTGAGTGGTTTGGTGCTAGTTTTGCTCTAGGTGCAAATGTTTCGAATGACAGGGATTTCAAAAGGACTAGTCCCTTTGAACTGAGGCAATAATTATTTAAAAACTGTCTTCAGACAATCAGAAAAGCAAGAGGCAAGCGTTAATAGTTTGGGGAGGAGAATGGCAATGTGGGCTGCCATTTTGATTTGGAGTCTTGCCCTCAACCGGAAGTTAGACCCGGTGATCTAAACGGCCTCTAGAAGGAATCAGATTTGACAAACCATTAAGCGCTAGGATGAAAGGCCACATCACATTTGGAAAGTCTGAAGGTTACCGCTGTGGGAGAGACCAGACCTTTGACCGGATGCAAGAGGGACACAATTTCTTAGCCGAACTGGCGAAAACATTGCGTAGCAATTCAATTAAACCTTCCGCTTAAATGTGTCTTTCAACTTTTGCCGTAATGTCAGCAGCGATGACGTATTTATTTTTAGTGAACTTAACTGATATTTTATTAGGATCAAATGCAAGTGAGTGTGCGCTGCCCCGAGAGTTCAGGAGGAACTGATTTTCTGTCAGGAAAGATCGGGATCAATGGCATTGTTCTCCTTCCAAGATAATGCTAAAAACGTTTATTTAAAGGTTCATATCTTCTCGTGGCCTTATCTGTATTCCGAGCTGCTTGTCCAATGAAATAAGATTCACTCACACCTTCCTTCACTGTGTTATTGACAAAATGTAAGCACAATGTGACTGGAAGCCAGATGCCAGCCTGGTTTGAGAATCCCTCTCACTTAATTCATCGGCACGGATTATTTTATTGCCACTTTCATTCTTGTTTATGCAGGTTTGGGTTTGGGTGAATCCTGCTTTTTCTACTAGTTTTTGAATTCAGGATAAGGGCAACCTACAGGTAACCTTCGATTTTCAATAGTTCATTTTGTGACCATTTGACGTTTACAAGGGCGTTGAAAAAAGTGACTTAATGACTGGTTTTTCACACTTACGGCCGTTGCAGCATCCCCATGGTCATGTGATCAAAATTCAGACGCTTGACATACTTCATACTTACGATGGTTGCAGTGCTCCAGGATCATGTGATCAACTTGTGTGACCTTCTCATAAGCAAAAACAATGGGGAAGCTAGATTCACTTAACAACCATGTTAGAAACTTACCAATTGCAGTGATTTATTTAGCAACTGCGCAAGAAGGATTATGAAATAGGGCAAAACTCACTTAGCGATTGTCTTGTTTAGCAACATAAATTTTGAGTTTAATTGTGGTCAGAAGTCGATGTCTAGCTGCATTCAGTCATCCTTCATATGGAACATTAACCTGCATTGCATGTGGCTCTGAACAGAACAGAACAGAACAGAACAGAACAGAACAGAACAGAATAACAGAGTTGGAAGGGACTGTGACATCTTCTAGTCCATCCCTATATCATCTCTCTCTTATCTATCTGTCTGTCTGTCTATATCATCTCTCTCTCATCTATCTGTCTGTCTATATTATCTCTCTCTTTCTCTCTCTCTCCTCTCATCTCTCATCTTTCATCTCCTATCTATCTCCCTACACATTATCTCTCTACAAAGAGGTCAACTCAAGGTGGCAAACATACTTTAAAGATGAGGCTTGTGTGTTTGAATCTCCAGGCCTGCATTGCTTTGCTAATCGCGTCTCATGTTGGAAATACAGGAACTAGAAAGGAGGAAATTATTAATTTCAATTTAAAAAGATTAAACACTTGAATAAAAATATAGATTTATGCAATTCTAGCCATGTTTTGCTAAGAGGCATTTGTGGTCTCATCCAATGGAACTCCACCAATAAATAAATAAATAAATGCAATGCAATTGAGAAGATGGGGCTTTTCTGCAAGAACAGAATGTGAGCTCTGCCTGTCGATCGGATACTGCTGCGAAATTGCTGTTCGAAAATGACCTCTTTTGACCCTGTTCTGTTCTGTGCTAATCCCTCTGGTGCTGTTTCACAAAGCAGACACAAAGAAGAAAATCACAGAAGGTCTAATTGAACAATGCACTTCACTCCAAGCTGCTGGTTGGTCCGTCTCTTTCATTCTGCCTTTGTTTTCAATGGAAGGGGTTTAATGTCTGCCCTTTTTAGGAATTGGGGACACCACATTTCACAAAACAGCTAAAGCCAAGATTTGGAGGATGGTTGAGAAATTAAGACACAGACTTCAGAGGATAATTAGAACTGCAGAAAAAACAATTGCTACCAACCTGCCTTCCATTGAGGACCTGTATACTGCACGAGTCAAAAAGAGGGCTGTGAAAATATTTACAGTCTCCTCACATCCTGGACATCAATTGTTTCAACTCCTACCCTCAAAACAACGCTATAGAGCACTGCACACCAGAACAACTAGACACAAGGACAGTTTTTTCTCGAACGCCATCACTCTACTAAACAAATAATTCCCTCAACACTGTCAAACTATTTACTAAGTCTGCACTATTATTAATCTTCTCATCTTCTCATTGTTCCCATCACCCATCTCCTCCCACTTATGACTGTATGTCTAACCTTGTTGCTGGTATCCTTACAATTTGTATTGATATTGTTTCCTGCTTGCTTATTTGTAACCTATGACTATCATTAAGTGTTGTACCTTATGATTCTTGATGAACGTATCTTTTCTTTTATGTACACTGAGAGCGTATGCACCAAGACAAATTCCTTGTGTGTCCAATCACACTTGGCCAATAAAAAAAAATATATTCTATTATCTCCCAGGGTTTGGTTTAGGCTGGTTGAAGCCACTTTTTGGGTGTGTGTGGTGTGCTTGTGGTTCATTAGATTTACCATCTTGCTGATTGTTATTGGGAAGGTTTGTTTTTTTGTTTTTTATGTTGGGAGTCATCCAGAGGCAACTGGAGTTGATTAGTATCTAAGCTGAATAAAAACAAATTAGTAAAATAAAATGTTATTATTTCTCCCAACTCCAGTTGGATTAGATCCCCAACTCCATGTATAGCAGGGGTCTCCAACCTTGGCAATTTTAAGCCTGAAGGACTTCAACTCCCAGAATTCCCCAGCCTGCAAAGTTGGTATGCCTAGAGGTGACAGCAGCTTTCACAAGAGATTGCCAAAGTCACTTTCATCTGTGACAGATATGTTGTAATTAGCAGATTGCACAACAGTAACAAGTATACTGCGCAGATCGTTATGCTGACTGCTTTGTCACACTCACAGGAAAGGCGCTGCTGAATACCTCAACCTAAATCTGCCGTTTAGTTCACAGGTTGTGAATTTGGGTTAAGAGTGCTTGGGTGATGGGTAGCCTGGTTTCTTAGACACCATGTTTCTTGGCTTATAGGAAGTAAGTGTTCCTCTCAATTCGGCCTGTCCAGATCCCATTTGGAATATGGCATACTGTGTTTCCCCAAAAACAAGCTAGGAGAGAGAACTTTTAAAAAAATAAGCTGTCAGTGAAAAATGCCACTACTGAAGCCCAATCCAACTTGTCTCTATCCCCCCCCCCCCCCAGAAAACCAGGGTGCATAGGAGCATCACAGGTTCTGCCTCTTTCCCGCCATGGATTGCCCAGTTTGTCTTCATTGTAAAATAAACAGAGTGGAAGAGAAAAGAAGTACATTTCTACAACATAAATCATTTTGCCTTCCTTCCTTCCTCGTGGCTCTTTATATCTCATTCTCCTCTTGCCTCGACTCCAGAGATCTAATTACTTAAGATAAATGTGTATAAACATGAGCTTTAAGCTTTCTAATCGCTCTTCTGCTTTGCTCGTTTCCACAGAGGTCAAGACGATCAGTTTAAATGTTTCTAAATAGCAAAGTAGAATACATTTTTCTTTTTCACACCCCAGATGCAATTTATGACATTTTATTAGCAACTGCAGAGTTAAGAAACTATTATCTTTTGATTGGTCTCATTTCAAATCAGAGCTTTTATCTAAGGTAGGATTCTGTCAACATCGACAGCAGCTGGTGAAAAGATTTGTGGAGTGATGGTGGAGGGAGGGAATAGGATAAATTTTCCCAAAGCATTAATTCTCTCTCATTCTCTCTCTCCCCCCCTCAAGCTCTCTCATAACTCTTGATTTACAGAAAAGGCCAATACATTATTATTCCCAATGTCTGAAATTCAATTATGGGCAGATTACAGCCTCTCTTCTTGATCCTCCTTTAAAAGCAAAAAACATCAAAACTTTTACCGAAAGGGTAGAAACGATTTCAATTGGAGTGTGCAGGGACAGAGACACCAATGCGGTAAAGACACAACATGTTTCTCCTGAAAGGTTTTGCTAACTCAGATTGAAGTTCATCATCATCATAGCTAATGTACAGAAGATCCCTGGGGAAGATCTGAAGTTAGGGGTTGGGTAACAGGTCCTGTTGATCAAGGTCAGAAGCAGGGATGGGTTCTACTTACCTTTACTACCAGTTCGCAACAGGATCGCTTCTGTGTATGCGCAGATCGCCGATGATGACATCTGGGGCAGTGGGCAGGGCCTCCTGTCGGTTTTACTACCGGTTCTTGCGAACTGGTCTGAACCGGGGGCAACCCATCACTGGTCAGAAGAAGAATGCGAGAAGTTAGAACCAAAGCTGATGATTTACATAGCTGTTCTCTGAAACATCTTCACCATCTTTATAGAATAGGTGGGATGAGCTGTTCCAGTAAACTCTATAGTTCAATGTTTCTCAATTTTGGCCACTTGAAAATGCGCGGACTTCAACTCCCAGAACTCCCCAGACAGCAGTTGCTGGCTTTGGATGTGTGGAGCTGAAGTCCACACATCGTCAAGTTGGAATGGGACAACTCGCTGCAGTCACCTCACCAAGTCCACCTCACCACGGCCAACTCTCTGCAGGACAACTTGTCACAACCAACTCGCTATGGGACAACTCGCTGTGGGACAGGTTAACAATTCTATGTAATTATTTAAAATAAATAAAACATTATTTTAATTTTTGCCATTCGCATTTCATTCTGTCCCTACTATTGCATTCTTTCTATTCCACCATTTCTTTGATATTAGCGTAACTCTTGTCCTGCAGTGAGTGGGCCGTGGTGAGTTGGCCATGGCGAATTGTCATAACCCTCTTCAAGTTGCCAAGGTTGAGAAACATTGCTATAGTTAAATGGGGATTCAAACCTCCCATGTATCAGTCCAGTGTTTTAACCACTATGCCAAAACCAGGAGGACTCTGGATTTTCTTTGGCCCACACAATGTCAGAAAAACAAATGTGTTTCTTCTCTTCTGCATTTTGGGTGGTTAGGGGAAATCCAGGGCTGAAGCTCTTTAACTGCTTAGTCAGGTATTTTATGGTGCAGCTCTAAATTGCAGCATGGAACTGTCAGGTAGAAGTCTGAAGATTCCTAGTTCAGGCCCCAGCAGCTCCTGATCTATGGGTCATAATTGTGGATCAAAATATCTACTGCTCTGTCAACCTCAGCAGAAAAGGGAATTAATCAACAGCTGGCCAACTCTCTTGGCCATTTGACCAATTAAATTACTTTCTTCCTTGATTTACTGCCTTTATCACTTTGGATTATAACTTTATTTTGGCCTCCATAGCACCTGAAGGGATGTGGTGGCTCAGTGGCTAAGATGCTGAGCTTGTCAATCAAAAGGTCAGCAGTTCAGTGGTTTGATCCCTAGTGCCACGTAACGGGGTGAGCTCCTGTTACTTGTCCCAGCTTCTGCCAACCTAGCAGTTCGAAAGCACGTAAAAAATGCAAGTAGAAAAATAGGGACCACCTTTGGTGGGAAGGTAACAGCGTTCCATGCGCCTTTGGCGTTTAGTCATGCTGGCCACGTGACCACGGAGACGTCTTTGGACAGCGCTGGCTCTTTGGCTTTGAAACAGAGATGAGCACCGCCCCCTAGAGTCAGGAATGACTAGCACATATGTGCAAGGGGAACCTTTACATTTACCTTTAGCACCTGAAGGCAGGACAAGAAGCAATGGATGGAAACTGATTACAGAGAAAACCAATCTAGAACTAAGGAGAAATATCCTGACAGTTAGAACAATTAATCAGTGGAACAGTAATAATAAACTTGATTACAGTCACAGACCACCAATAGACAAAATTATCACTGTTTACAATAGTGTTAAAAGATATTACTAATAATAATAAGTAATAATGTCCATAATAATAAAATACATGGTATCAAACAGTATGGCTGTTATCCTTGTTTACATGATAGGAGAGCAGGTAAGTATGAGTGTAAATATAATTTCTCTAAAAATTGTTAGAGATATCTACAAGAAATTGGTGCAGTAAACATCTTTAATTCTAATCAGTGGAACAGGTTGCCTCCAGAAGTTGTGGGTGCTGGAGGTTTTTAAGAAGACATTGGACAACCATTTGTCTGAAATGGTTTCAGGATAGGGTTTCCTGCCCTGATAGGATTTCCTGCCTGAGCAGGGTGTTGGACTAGACGACCTTCAAGGCAGGGATGGGCTTCAGATCCTTTAGCAACAGGATTCAACAGTTCACTGGGCGTGGCCATGGTGGGCGTGGCCTAGTTGGCCGCCTGCACCACGGCGGGGGAGGGGGGATTTTTCACCCTTCCCAGGGTCCAGAGGTTTTTGTTGAGCCTCCGGAAGGGCAAAAACTGCATCCCCCGGAGTCTGGAGGCCCTCTGGAGGCCGAAAACAGACCCGTTTCTGGACTTCTGGAACCTCTGGTAGGCCCGTTTTTTGCCCTTCCAGACCCTCCGCGTGGCCCCTGCACTTACCTGGAATGATGAACAGGCCATGTGGAGACTCCTGGGAGGGGTGGGGCGGGGTGGGATGGGGTAGGCGTGGCCAGCCAGGGGTGGCATTTGGGGATTCACCAAACCCCGGCGATCCTTGGCTAGAGGATCGCCCGAACCCTGCCAAACCTCCAGGAGCCCACCCTTGCTTCAAGGTCCCTTCCAACTCTGTTATCCTGTTATCTCAGGGGCTTATTTCCTGTCCTGACAACGGATTCTGCTTTGATTGGGATCTTGTTATTCTGCTATTTGTTATTCTGTAGGTGAAAAATGCACATAGTTTACAATCTGAATAAAAATCCTTAATTTGGATAGGATTAGTCCATTCTTACACATGGGCATTATGGACACAGCAAGAGAATTGTGGTAGAGGAGCTAATTTGTAGGAGAGGCCACCTGCTTGCTTGGAGAAACGAGGGAAGACAAAGCTCTATCTAATGGTTGTTCGTGTTAAGATGATTTATGGGGTAGGGGCACAGGTCTCAGTTGTGATTTGAAACAATCTTACATTAATTGTTTAGGAATAGACCCTGTTCTTATTGGATAAGAACACATTTTTTCATCATTATTGAGTATTGCCTTTTTTTGGCATTTGTCTAGTGATGGGGCTGCACCTGCCTTAACCCTGGCAGATACTCCAGACAAGAAGCACAGCCAGAAGTGCTAGCTCTATTTTTATTGCAAGGTTAAGGTAATGGTTTTCCCTGGCCAGTCATTTCTGACTCTAGGGCACAGTGCTCATCTCCATTTCTTGGCTGAGCGAGCTAGTGTTATTCAAAGACATTTCTGTGGTCTTATGGCCAGCATGACTATAAACTGAGGTACATGGAACTTTCTGCCAAAGTGGTACCTGTTAATCTATTTATTTATTTAGTGGTTCGATTTATATCCCACCCTTCTCCAGAGACTCAGGGCGGCTTACAATGCGTTAAGCAATAGCCTTCATATTTTTGTATATACCTGCTTAGTAGGGCTTTCGGCCCCCCAAGCGGTGTTCTTTTTATACAAAGTCAGCTTATTGCCCCCACAGTCCGAGTCTTCATTTTACCTACCTCAGAAGGATGGAAGGCTGAGTTAACCTTGAGCTTGGTGAGATTTAAATTTGCAGTAATTGCAGGCAGCTGGCAGTTAAATGCTACTTAACAGCATTTTAGTCTGCTGTGCCACCAAGGCTCTTTTCTATTCACATTTGCATGCTTTTGAACTGCTAGGTGGGCAGGAGCTGAGGCAAGGAGGGGAGCTCACCCCGTCATGCAGCACTCGGGTCTCAAACCCAGGCTGTCAGCTTTCCAGCTGACAAGTTCAATGTCTTTAACCACTGAGCCATCATGCTCCTGTGTGGTAAGCTTACATTAACAGAATATTTAAAAGACTGAAAGTGCATCTCCCCCGCCACCCTTGGCTTTATAATCAATATAAAAGGGGCAATACATAATTCTGCTTTGCGATGCCCTTCAGATGTGTGAAGACTGCTGTCATATCTTCCCTTCAGGTGTCTTTTCTGCAGGCTAAGCATACCTACACCTTTTAACTGAGCCTCACACCAGGGGTGAAATGCTCCCGGTTTGGACCGGTTCGGCCGAACCGGTAGCGATGGCAGCCGGTGGTTCGGAGAACCGGTAGCAATAGCGGACTGAGGCTCCGCCCACCCACCCGGTTGTCATTACTTCCTGATTTTAACCAGGAAGTAACCTGTTTTTTACCCTCTGCGCATGCACAGAAGGGTTTGTGCATGTGCAGAGGGTCCATGCACGCACATGATGTGCGCGTGTGTGAGCGAAGCAAGAGTGTGCGCACGGTGTAGGCACTTCCAAACCGGTTGGGAAAGTAAGTAGATTTTACCGCTGCCTCACACCATCCCTCTTTTCCTATTACTTTCTGGAAAATTAGGGAGGGTCCGTTCTGAAACGTTTCCCACTCTTTCCATCTGGACTGAGATATTTATTCTGGTTATCCAGCCTATGTCTCTCCTTCCTGTCCCCCAAGGTCATTCCCACATACCATTACAACTTAGTTCAAGTTGGAATTGACTCCAAATCTCTGAGGAGGGTTTTTTTTCCATTAAAAATTTACCTGTTTTTGAATATCCCCCCTCGGTCTGGTTCAGTTAATGGTTATTTGCTTATGGTCAGTCTCATACAAGCCATTCCTTCATTTCCTTTCGATAAAACATGGATAGAACTCTTCAGTCATATTTGAAACTCAGATAAACGTCTTCTGAAAATGACTCTTTGAATGGGCCACCATCAAAACTAGGATGATTTTCACTGAGACCTGAATCACCCGCTTAAGATATTAATGGCTGTTCTCTTGATGTTTGAACTACAAGCAAGCCATAAAAAAAATCCTATTATTCCCCCCTGATTGATTGTAATGGAGATTGATTGTCCTGGCCAATCAAGTATCGTAGGAGAAAGTCATTACTAAGAACTGTACCAAGGCTTTTGCGTCTCTGAAAATGTAACAGAAAACAGTTCTTGCTCAGATAAAGGCTCCTACTTGCACAACAGAAGTCAAATATCTGCTCAATAGACTGCATTGCTTGCGGTTTAGCAATGATGGGAGACTGTTGAAATTTAGAATTCCTGAGCTTTCCAGAATTGCGAAGACTGATCTACCGGCTTTAGAATCTCCGAAGTTTCCAGAATTTTGAAGACACAATGGATAAACTCTTTGCTTTAGAATCCCTGAAATTTTTAGACTGTTGAAGACACAACGAATACACTCCTTGATTTTTTTGGGGGGAAAATAGAACATTTTGATGCTTCCTGCAAATAATTGATGTGCCTAATTATAAACCTATATAACCACAGTAGATTAGTTTACCCTGTTTAAGGGTTGACAAATCTGTCACTTTTGCTTTCTTTCATTTTCAGATTGCAAAAGTTGGAAGTTCAGCAAGTTCTTATTTAAAAAAAACAAAGTTGTTAGACATCTTCTCTCTAGGACAATAAAGAACATTTGTGAATGATGATAGATTTCAACAGATTGCCTCTTCCAATCCAGGTTCACAAACGTGAGTGAGCACACACATGACACCTGGTACAGGAAAGAAAAAAACAAGAACAAGCAAATACAAATAAAACTATCCTATATTCTGCAGTGATTGGTCGAACCAATGAAGGTATGGATGAGGCAGGCTGCCCCCAATTTTTTTTCTCCCCTAGCAAGATTAGTTAAGTAAAAATTTCCATTTTGCAGAATCGATAAAGCTTGTCATCCTTTCAAAACTACTTCTAAACAGCCTTTCTTTACACAATGTGCTTAATCTGACTACCTAATCCATCCAGTTTCTAGGTTTACACAATATATTGATCTAAATGGCTAAGCCACAAAATTGTGGAGTCCTTGATGCTCTCTGAGCTTGGTTGTTTGCTTGCAGACATTTCATTACCCAACTAGGTAACATCATCCATGCTCCAATGATGTTACCTAGCTGGGTAATAAAACATCTGCAAACCAACAAGCATGCTCAAAAAAGACCAAAGACTCCACAGTTCAACCTTCAGCTACAGACACTCTCTTCTATTTATGCCATCAAAATATAATCAAAGTTGAAACATCAAAGGTCATCTCAGGGGTTGCCATAAAGAAGAGGGAGTCAAGCTATTCTCCAAAGAACCTGAGGGCAGGAAAAGAAGCAATGGGTGGACACTAATGAAGGAGAGAAGCAACTTAGAACTAAAGAGAAATTTCCTGGCAGTTAGAACAATTAATCAGTGGAGCAAATTGCTTCCAGAAGTTGTGGGTGCTCCAACACTGGAAATTTTTAAGAGATTGGATAATTATTTGTCAGAAATAGTATAGGGTTTCCTGCCTGAGCAGAGGGTTGGACTAGAAGACCTCCAAGGCCCCTTCCAACTCTGTTATTCTAAATTCTAATTCTCAAGTTTTTCTTCCAAGACCAAAACTTTGTACAAAGCCCACACTTTTATTTTTACATCGAGGTCAAGAATGGTACTCAAAGATTTTCCCCAATGACCAGTGTTTCTCTCTTTCTGTCACCTGAAAAACAACACTGAATCCATATAGAAAAATTCTAGCCTAAGACCAGTGGTGGCTTTCTACCGGTTCGGACCGGTTCGGGCGAACCGTTAGCTCTGACTTTCAGCCGTGAGCGAAACGGTTCGCTCATTCTTTGAAGTGGGCCCACCCGCCCCTGCATTATACTCACCTATATTTCTGTTTCCGAAGCCCAGCTGATCAGGGCGGCAGAGTGGATTGCCGCTCCTCAGCTGTTTTCCTTGCTCTCCGCAACGTGGAAGTTCAATTTTCTGCAAACTGCGCACGGGCGCTCAGCGAACTGGTTGTTAAACCAGTAGGATCCCACCCCTGCCTAAGACCCACAGCCCTATATATCCACGATCACACTTGGCATACAACTTGATTCTCTTCTTCCTATCATTTTCTCAGGATCTGTTTCCCAATTAATGCCACCCACTAGTTAGCTCTAAAAGGAAAATAAAGAATCTGTCTTAGATTAAGCAGCAATCTACATTATAAAAATATTTACAGTCTTTTGACAGTTATTACCTTTTAAAAAACTACTACAGTTTCCACAGGAATATGATTTATCTGCGAACTGTGCCATTTTGGCTGGGAGAAATTCCACCGTGTGTCTTTCTTGATGTACATTTTGAAAGGTCCCATCTGTCTCTCCGTGATCCTTCTGGTGCCCCTTGGCTAAGAGATGTATGCATATGGACTGGTACAACAGTGTCATTAGAATGATTGATGATCCCAGTGAACCTCTGCATCGAAGAAAGTAGATCTGTAAGGATTTTTCTGCTTCAGGATGGAGTCCTATGAAGTGGACCTAATGGATTATTTCTCCCTGTGGTGATGTTGGGTTGGCAAATAAACACATTCTTGTAGTAGGTTTTGTTCATAGAGATGGGCTGAGTAATATACCCTTGACAAAGGTAAAGAATGGCCTTAGAAAGGGAAGAGAAGAAAACATCACCAAATGTGCAAATGTCTTATTTATTTATTTATTATTCAAACTTCTATACCGCCTTTCACCTTTCAGACTCAGGGCAGTGAACAGCCAAGATAAAAACATTTATACATAAATTTATAGTTAAAAATAAATTTAAAATAATTAAATAAATTTGGCCCGTAATTTAAAACTTATCAATTTAAAATCCGTATCAAATTTTAAAACTAACCATAAAATCAAGACAGACCGGCTAACTGAAAAAAATAAGTTTTTAGGGCCCGACGAAAAGTCCGGAGGTCGGAGATCACTCGTATCTCTGGGGGTAGATTGTTCCAAAGGGTAGGTGCCACCACAGAGAAGGCTCTCTTCCTGGGGGTCGCCAGCCGGCATTGTCTGGCCGACGGCACCCTGAGGAGGCCCTCTCTGTGGGAGTGAACTGGCCGGTGGGAGGCTATTGGTGGCAGAAGGCGGTCCCGTAAGTACCCCGGCCCTAAGCCATGGAGCACTTTAAAGGTGATCACCAACACCTTGAAGCGCACCCGGAAGTCCACCGGAAGCCAATGCAGCTCGCGCAGGAGAGGAGTCACATGGGAGCGTCTTCATAAGTGGGATGACCTAGGATACAAAAATTGAATATGGCAGAAAGGGAAAGTTGATTGATTTGACTGTCTATCTGACAGTTTTGTGTGGCTAATTCTGGAAAGTTTGGGTTTGAGTTCTGGTTAGTTCAACCATGATTGTAATTTTACAGCCATGTGCCTTGTCTTTTACAGATTCATAGAAAAAGGATCCAACCAATTTCTATTCTAGTCAAGAATAGTTGTAATTACTGATTTTAATTCAGGGGTTCCCCAAACTTGGCAACTTTTAAGATTTGTGGACTTCAACTCCCAGAATTTCCCAGTCAGCCATTCCCCATGCTCACTGGGGAATTCTGGGAGCTGAAGTCCAGAAGTCTTAAAGCTGCCAAGTTTGGAGACCCCTGCTTTAATGGATTGAAGTGGTGAGATTTAATTTGCTTTTTCCTCTTAATATTCCTTACCAAATTTTTAATTATTTTTGTAACTTGGGTGAAGAAAATCTGGGAATTTATTTGAAAGAAATGAATGTAAGGAAAAGCAACAGTGACATTTCTCTATCCATTCTAATGGGAAAAAAGGCACAAAGCAATTGAATCAGTAACAAAAAACAGAGGGTTTACCACCCTTTGACTAGCCTTCCTTAATCAATGAACTCCCAATCTATTGGATTACGATGTTCACGGTTTCTATCTATAATTCATACCTGGCATTAAACCTTATACTCAGGATGATGAATATTATGTTCAAATGTATGGAAGGGCTGGAACATAGAACATAGAATAATAGAGTTGGAAGGGACCTTGGAGGTCTTCTAGTCCAACCCCAACCCTTTTGGGTACCAGAGACAGGTTCTGCAGAGAGAGGTTTTTCCACAGACCGGAGGGGGGCATGGTTTCACCTGCTGCCTGCATCCTGCAGATGGGGCTTCACTTGTTTGTGCATCCTGGTTTTTGGCATGCTGGGGCCCAGTGTCAGTCCATGGATGAGGGATTGGGGACCTATACCATTTTAGACAAATGGTTGTCCAGTGTCTTTGCAGATGACACTAAGCTGGCAGGAATAGCCAACACTCCAGAAGATAGGCTCAAGATACAGAAGGATCTTGAAGACTTGAACATTGGGTGCTATCTAACAAAATGAAATTCAACAGTGAAAAAAGGAAGGTTCTACATTGAGGCAAGAAAAACAAAATACACAGGTACCGTATATGTGGTATCTTGCTCAATAGTAGTAACTGTGAGAGGGATCTTGGAGTCCTAGTGGACAATCATTTAGATATGAGCCAGCAGTGTGCAGCAGCTGCCAAAAAAGCCAACACAGTTCTGGGCTGCATAAACAGAGGGATAGAATCAAGATCAGGTGAAGTGTTAATAACACTTTATAATGCCTTGGTAAGGCCACACTTGGAATATTGCATTCAGTTTTGGTCGCCACGATGTAAAAAAGATGTTGAGTCTCTGAAAAGATTGCAGAGAAGAGCAACAAAGATGATGAGGGGACTGGAGGCTAAAACATATGAAAAATGGTTGCAGGAACTGGTATGTCTAGTTTAATGAAAAGAAGGACCAGGGGAGACATGATAGCAGTGTTCCAATATCTCAGGGGCTGCCACAAAGAAGAGGGAGTCAAACTATTCTTCAAAGCACCTGAAGGCAGGGCAAGAAGCAATGGATGGAAACTAATCAAGGAGAGAAGCAACTTAGAACTAAGAAGAAATTTCCTGACAGTTAGAACAATTAATCAATGGAACAACTTGCCTGCAGAAGTTGTGAATGCTCCAACACTGGAAATTTTTAAGAAGATGTTGGATAACCATTTATCTGAAGTGGTGTAGGGTTTCTTGCCTGGGCAGGGGGTTGGACTAGAAGACCTCCAAGGTCCCTTCCAACTCTGTTATTCTATTCTATTCTTTTTGAAAGCCTCTAGTGATGGAGCACCCACAACTTCTGAAGGCAATCAATTGCATTTGTTGATTGCTCTCACCATTTTTCCTTAGTTCTAGGTTGCTTCTCTCCTTGGTTATTTTCCATCCATGTTTCTCGTCTTGCCTTTTGGTGCTTTGGAA